CCAAACTCTGCGGAGAGGAGACCCTGCACAAGTAAAGATGACACNGGTTAAACATGCGAGATTCCAACGACTAACGGTTGCATTTAAGTGCGAACAGCAGTTAAAACCCTAAGCTTGCGGCCCAGACTTACCGTGCACGATACCGTGCTAAGGCGCCTCACGTACGTCCCAAATCGAATTCGTCAATGCAACCTCCGAACGGCATTATGCCACGAAACCCCACAAGAACATCCGTCCATGCAAGCCCACAAACCAAATTGTGCCAGGCCATGTCCCCCAAACCGCATCATGCCAGGCCATGTCCCCCAACCCGCATCATGCCAGGCCATGTCCCCCAAACCCGCATCATGCCAGGCCATGCCCCCCAAACCGCATCATGCCAGGCCATGTCCCCCGAACCACATCATGCCAGGCCATGTCCCCCAAACCCGCATCATGCCAGGCCATGCCCCCCAATCACATCATGCCAGGCCATGCCCCCCAGTCACATCATGCCAGGCCATGCACCCCAAATCGCGTTGTGCAAGGCCATGCCCCCCAAACCGCATCATGCCAGGCCATGTCCCCCAAACCCGCATTATGCCAGGCCATGCCCCCCAAACCGCATCATGCCAGGCCATGCCCCCTAATCGCATCATGCCAGGCCATGCCCCCCAATCACATCATGCCAGGCCATGCCCCCCAATCACATCATGCCAGGCCATGCCCCCCAATCACATCATGCCAGGCCATGCCCCCAAGTCGCATTGTGCCAGGCCATGCCCCCAAGTCGCATTGTGCTAGGCAAAACCCCAAACCGCACTGCGCCCGGCCACCCCAGGCCCCGACAGCATCCGCCCAGGTACCTCCCAGATCATTTTGCATGGGCCCATTACTGGAAGTTCAGTTGCGCAAGTCCTCGTGCTGCATTGATTCCATTTGACCGTCCAACCGAAACCGTTGGTCATTATTAACGTTGACCACTCGATCGTTTACAGAACTGCTGTATTCGCCACTTATTGATATTTTTATTATTAACCGTTATACGGCCTGTATGGCGTTTACTGTACGACACCATTCGTTCGGTCATTGCTCGTAGTTGGCGCTGCATGCAGCCAACAAGTTATCAAGCCAACAAGAATGGCGGCAACTGATGATGATGACCATGATTATAATGATGACGATGATGATGATGATGATGATGATCATGATGATCATGATGCCGATGGCCTTTACAGCAGTTGATAGTTGCGGCTATATGCCGCCGCCGCCGCCGCCGCCGCTAGCCAACTGGCCAGCAGCGGCGGCACCCGGCTGGGTGCAGCTGGGTGCGGAAGAATTGCACCCAGCAGTGCACCTGAAAGAAAAGGGACAAGGCGGGGGAAGGGCGCGGGAAGTCAAAATATGGTTAGCAGTACGACACAACTAACACACACATAATTAGGTGACAGTTGCAAGCAAGGGTACCGCTGCTGGTCCCCACGACGCACACCCCATGCACCAAAACCCCAAGCCCATCCGCACCCACCTCAGCCGGGTCCATCATCAACAACGCCCGCTCGGTGCCACTGGGGCGCACAGGTTGATGCCCCAGCCGCACCTGAAGAGGAGGTGCGTGATAAAGGGGGAAACGGCCAGAGGGGATAGGTAAGGGGGCAGCATACACGGGG